TTTTTTTTTTTTTTCAGTAATATCTTAGCCAGTTGATTAATAAATCGGCAAAAGTTTAAGTTGAAAAAAAAAAAAGAAGAAAAAAAAACTTGTCAAATTTTGTGACAAAACTTTTACATTATAAGCTGTTTTATAGCTATTTTATTTTGCATTAGTTGGTGGTTTTACAAATATAAAATATTTAACAGTTTTTTTTTTTCGCAAGTTCGATAACAGCTTTAACATTTGGTTACAAATTTAAATTGTGCACTTTGTTACAAAATTGCTAAAAAAAAAACCTATAAAGCAGAAAAGTTTATATGCTTTTTTTTGTAGAAAAAATTTTTGACATCTACAGATACGTATGCGAGAGTACAAAATAGGGCAAAAAAAACCCCCCTTTCTTAAAAAAATTATGACCATTTTTACTCTCCAATTTATTTTTATACACCGTATTTGATTACAGCTAATTTTTGGATAGCATTTTCAGCGCGGTCCAGACGACCTGTTTGCATCACTGCAAACCAACGGTGGAGGTTTGCTAGCGCCAGGTTTGGCGGCGATTACCGTCGATACAGAAGCCAAAAAGGTATCCCAAAAAAAAAAAAAAAAAAGATTGAATAATTAATCTTCAAAATACCAACAGTATATTGTGCCGAATTGGAGTCATATGCATAATTTCTAAAACAGCGTACAATAATTGATGCTAAGTTTATGCTAAGTTCTATCTGCATAGTTCACATAAATCGTTAAAATTTGTGCTTTTACGATCAGCTGTAAGGATAATAATAGCTGTTGAAAAGCTGATAACTTTTTTAAATAAATCTCATCACTTTTAAATAAAAGTTAAAAAAAAAACGATGTATGTTTTTTCAGTCTTTCCTCCTTGACGAATCAACAGCTGTTATAAGCAACAAACTTTTATTGACATCTAAAGTTGCAAAAAATTATAATATTAAATTTCAAGCAATTACTAACTTAAAACTTTATTGCTGTAACATTTTGTAAAAATATCGTAGACTATTAATAATCAAAGAAAAATTTGATTGATTTTGGTAAAAATCTTTTTTGTACAGATCAACTGACTGTTTTATCCTAGTCGATTACTGGTTTTTATCAAAGCAGAGCAAAGTTGTTTCTTGGCACCTTTTCTGCTCTTTTCTATTGGTTTTATTTCCAAAACTAATTGGTAATGTACCCAATACTGTAGCTCTAAATTTGCTTCAAATTTATTTCAACCAACAACATCGAAATTTTTTTTTTTTTAGAACTAAATGAATTAAGTGTAGTTTAGAATTTACTACTTATGCACCTATAAGGAAAATATTTACTTTTAAACTTTTCTTGATAACATTAAAAAAAAAAGCAACATTTTCTTTTTTTTAGGCTAAATTAGACTCTACACTGACATTTATGCCATCTGGTATTCTGTTACCTCAACAAAATTTGCTCTCAGCTGCTGTAAACTTTTCTAAAAATCCATTTATAACAACTCCCTCAATTATTGCTCAAGCTGCAGCGACAAATGGTATTAAAAAATCTAATTTTTTTTTTCTTTTTTTTTTCTATATTTTGACAGTACATCGTTTGCATTACATTCAACAAAAATTCTCAAGTGAACAACAACAGTGGTGACAGGTTTTAAGTGGTTAAAGTTCTAACTGTCAAAATCAAATTCAAACTTTTTTATATTCTGTAAATTATTTTAAATTAATAAAAACTGAATACCGTAGTCGGTGTTCTGATGTAATTATGGTTGTTGTCTGGTTGAGCAATACGGTACTGGCATATTTTTTTTTTTTTGGTTTCAAAAGTTCTACAGCAGTTCCAGCAACTACTTCATCAGTTACCGCACCACAGCGCTTGTCTAAGGTGGTACATTTACGGAACATCCCGTCAGATATGACTGAAATTGAATTGATCCATTTTTGTATGCCATATGGAAAACTTGTAAATTATTTGATGCTCAAAGGCAAAAATCAGGTAACAAAATCTGATAAACAGTATAATTATGTGATTTTTTTAACATCAAAGCATTACTGAACAGTTGTTCAACTAAAAACTTTTTTTGTCACGTAATTTTAGATGCAAGTTTTGCGTACGCAAATTAATCTTAAAATTTATTGTCATTTCGTGCGATTTACAAAATTTAGTTTTTTTTTTTTGACTTAATAATCACTAACAAACTGTTAAAGGTATTTACAAAGCTGTAATTCTTTTTTCTGTTTCTTTTTTTTCCTTTTTATTGCTACTTTTAGGCGTTTGTAGAATACGAGGATGAACAGGGTGCTCAAGCATTAGTAACTGTATCAGCCACTTGTCCTATAGCAATTCGTGATAGGTCAGTTAATTAGCTTTTAAACGGCATATATTAGTGTAATAATAGTTATTTGTTTTTTTTATTTACATTTGCATAGAAATTTAAAATCAGCGTTTAATTTTTTCTCTACAATGAAAGTGCCTGTTTTAAAAGTAGCTCAAAAAATTGATTACTTTACGAACAACAATTATTGTAGAACAATCTTCTGTCAGTTTTCGACTCATCAAGAGCTTAAAACTGATAAACTTCGTTCGAGTACCAGTAGTTCATTGGGTACAACAGCAACTGCAGCCGCTACTACGGCAACTAGTAGCACCAACGACGTCGACCTGGCTTCTGAGGTTAGCTAAAATTGTTTTAACAGTTTTCTTCAGGGTTACGGTACAGGCAGAACAATAGGTTTTTTATCAGGTTCT